GATTTACTGTCTTAGTGAGACATTAAAGGAGCCAAAGAGCAAAATTACAGAAATCACAGGGGAAAAAAAAAACACCTTAATTACTTTATAATCTACTAATTAAGCTCATCTGGAAAACACTAATACACCACAAGTACAGCTGATGTTATATGAAAGTATAGTTTTTAAGATTTCAACTAACTTTTAAGAAGAACAAATGAGAAAAAGTCAAGTTTGTTAACACCCATTAAAGTACTGAACCTGCAGATTAAAACATACCATGTGAATTTTGAAACCTTGATTAACATTGCTATATTAAGTAGTACCATTACCAGCCTACTCTTTAGGGCTTAAGAGAAATTTAAAGTAAAAGTACATCCATCAAAGTCAGATCTTCCAAGGTCTTACAGCATCAGCTCAAATACTCTAGTCTTGTACATAAATGTTGCAGAATTATGGGGTTCTCGATTTAAATGGTTAGGGTCTCTTTTGGGTTAGCTTTAAAACAAGCAAGGAAACTTCCTAGTGAGTTCAAAGTGAAAGGCAAAATTAAAACCTATTTCTTTTTTCAAATCCGTTAAATCCTGTTGGCAGGTTTTACCCTGAAGAGCCCCTGCTCCCAAGAGCAGCACCTCACCTGTTGAAGAACCCGGTCCAGTGGTTCAGCTTTGCTCAGTCCCTCTGGTGTTAAGGCACTGACTTCGCGACACTGGTCACTTAAGTCCAAGTTGTCTGCTTTCACCAGGGATTTGTGTAGTGTCCCTACCTAAAAATATTTAAGAAATTATGGACAAAAGTGAGGAGCAATGGAATTAGCTCTTTAAACACTACGCTCGGACTGCAGAGAAATCAGAAAGGTGCAGTGTCACAGCCGATACCAACCGCCAGGAGAAAAGCATTTGCCTATTTCACAAATCGAAACCTTTGGCCTCGGTTTCTCTCCCTCCACCCAGGAGAGCCACACGCTCTGCTTTGGTGTGTCTGAGCCCGTTTACATGAGATGGCTTTTGCAGTTAGCACCGATTTTTGCGGGAATTGTTAATGGCAAAGCGAAGATCACCTCATGTTAAGGTAGTTTCATTAATCTATTAAGGAAATGGACAGTCATGTTAGTTTTATCAAAGCCCTTAATCTCTAGGGGGCTCTTGTCTAGGATAGGGCTTGGGGGCTGGGGGGAGGGAAGGGAAATTGGGGATTACTTTTAGATCGGCCTAAGAATTAAAATAAATCAGTATTCTTTTAAAAGTTATCCAAATATTGGTTAAAAAGAAAGAAAGAAAGAAGAAAAAAAAAAAAAAAGGCTCCCGCAGCAGGCCGCAAAGGGTCCAGTGGTTACCGAGAGCCCGCGCCCAGGAAAGCGTGCATGCTTGGAACCACCCGGGGCAGCTTTTTGTCTGAAAGCTTCACAAGTCCGCAGACATCCTCGAAGCTACACACGTTTTAAGGCGGACGGGGCAGTGAGGGGTGGGAAGTGACCAAACTTTCTTTAAAAGTTACTTCTTCCCTTCAGATGGAACAAAAACGACCTTCCCGACTGGGCGCCCCGGGCAGTGAGTGACCCCCGGGCACAGGCCCCGCGCCCTCCCCTCCCTCGGCACATTTGGGAAAGGAATAAACGGCTCCGGGCAGGCGGCGAGTGGCCGGGCGAGCCCGCTCGCCCCGCGCCCGGGGAACGCACCCTCGGCC